CAAGTTTCTTGAGCCTAGTGCGTTTTGCAGCTTGCACCACAGGAGCTGTTGCTGTCTCCAGTAGACCATGTTTCACCCAAGCCTTCCAAGTGGGCGTCTGTAGGTTCCTGCAGTAAACCCAGCTGCATCTCACAGTCACCTCGGGAACTTAGCCAACACTTGTGTTGTTGTTACCAGTGTCTGTGCTCCCCCTCAGGCCTACTGAGTGAAACCTCGATGGCAAGCATTTGGAGCTTAGAGGTCTACACTGTAAAACACTCTATAAATGAAATCATCTCAGGTGATTTTCTTTTGTACCAGGAATCAAATTCAGGACCTTGTACTCGCCAGGCAGGTGCTGGGCCACCAAGCTATATTCCCAGCCCCTCAGATGATTTTTAATTCACTGTAAAGTCCAAGACTCTCCACTTTCAAGGCTCAAGTAACACCTTCACTGGCAGCACTTATCTCCTCTGGTCTAGCTGGTCTACTCACTTTCTTCTAAACATATATATTTTCTTAAGTCCACCCTTTAGCTTGCTATGTTCTTTGACCTAGACTTATTGGCCACCAAACTTAGAAAGGATCCAGGAGTCCAATTCCTGTCTAAGCCCGTGGGATCACAGTTTGACAAGAATGGATACTGGGTCCACTCACACATAGTAGTCAGTGGCTGTTAGGACCAGAGAGGTGCAAGGGCTATTATGATGCTTGCATTATCTGGACTATCTCTTGCTTCCTAAAATGCAGGGACTAGGGCTGAGAATGTAGCTCAGTGGCACAGTGCATCCCTGGGAGGTCCTGAGTTCAATTCCCAGTACAACAAAAAAAAAAAAAAAAAAAAAATGCAGGAAGTAGAAAGTGGTCCCACATATTTCTCTTGGCCCAGTAAGGTGATTTCTCTGCTGGACACAGATCTACCCCAGGGCTAGCACTGGCCTTCATGGTTTGGTCCTGTTCTCTCTGGTTGTCCCTCCCATGCTCTTGCTAGATGGTAGCTTCCTTCTCTCTACTCTAATGCGCTAATGTCCTGTCCCTATCTTGCCTACTTGTGGGTGAAACAACAGATTGGCAGGTAGAATAGATTGGTTTCCATTGGCCATATTTGGGAAAATTCTGACCTTTTCGTTGGAGGTGTAACTCTTTAGCTCCAAAAGGAAACATAAATATTCTGATAATGAAAAAATGGATATAGTGTGGAGATTCTGGGATCTTTGTGCTACTTTGTGTAAGATTTAAGGTTCTTGAAATGGTCCAGAGAACCTGCTTTGCAACATTTGTAAGTTTAGGTCATTAATTTACGACAGTTGTGTAAATGCTTAGGATATTTTGCTTTTCTGGTTTGTAAAGTCTTTCCTGCTGAGCATTTGAAATGTCTGAGAAAATCAAGCATGTTAAACTTGTAATTTGAAATGTCTACAGAAATTTGATTACTTAAGGCAGTAAGTCTATTAGATGTTTAAGGACAATTAAATCTACTCCACTTAATTTAATAGTAGTCAAAGAACAAATGAAAGTGGTAGTTCTTGTCTTCATATGAAAAGCTACTATATTTAACATGAAATCACAAAAGCGAGGAGTGGGGCTGCACATTTATAATCCCAAGTTATCAGCAGAAGGGTGAGGCAGGAGAGGTGCAAATTGCAGGCCGGCCTGGGCAAAAGAGAGATGCTGTCTTCAGATGAAAAAGGCTGCATCTGCTCTGTGTATGTGAGGCAATGACTCAATCCACAGGTGGGTGGGTGGGGTGGGGAGAGAGAGAGCAAGACAGACAGACAGACAGACAGACAGACAGACAGACAGACAGAGAAACTGTCTCAGTTACTTTTCTCTCATTGTGGGGACAAAATACCCAACACCCAGAATTAATGAAAGAAAGGTTTGTTTAGCTCACAGTTAGTGGAGGTATCAGTCCATACTCAGCTGGCTCCAAGGGACAGTGGCATGTGGCAGAGGGCAGCAGTTCATGGTGGCAAAAACCCAGCAAAACAGCAAGAGCAAAAGGGAGGAGTAGCGGCAACAGTGGCAACAGAGAGCAAGTGTGTCTTTTATGTTGCATTCAGGCGTCTGCCCACTCACATCCATAATCCCAGTGCTGGATCCTGAATTAATTACAGCCTCTAGAAGTCTGCCCCATGACTACATGAGGCTTTGGGGGGATAAACCATACACAGCCAGCCAGCCAGTGACACACACACACACACACACACACACACACACACACACACACACGGGCTGAAGGAGAGGGAAGGAGAGAACCAATTTCTCAAAGCCTTTAAGCAGAGGTAGGTTTTAGATGGCAGCTCACGTGCCTGCAGCAATCCCCTCTACATGCAAACCTACCTCTAGACAGGTAACCCTGCAGGCTGAACTCCCCATCTTAGGGTTCTAGTTGACTTATTTATTTATTTTTTGTATTTGGTACAGGGTCTCACTACACAGCTCAGACTTGTAGTGATCCTCCTGTCTCAGCCTCCCCAGTGCTGGGATTACAGGTGTGCCCCACCATGCCAGGTCTCAGTGGCCGGCTCAGTGCACCCCGGGGGTGGGACCAGCTTGGCATGTGGTGCTGGGGATGGAACCCTCCTCCCTGCACTTGTCTAAGCAGGCATTTAGTCTACAGAGCTATCTCGCCCTATTTGGCTTTATTGCCCAGGGCCATCAGGGCAGCCCAGGCCACTGCGGCCTTTTGCCTGCAGCACAGAGGCTTCTGAGCTGGACACTACACCACCATATCCAGCGAGTGTCCACGCAAGCCAGACCCCGCCCCCATCAGCTTTGCGTTCCATTTGCGTGTGCACAGCGGGGCTTGCCCTGTTGTTCCTCCTGGAGTCTCTGAGGTTGACCAGGAGCCTTCCTACTTCAGAGTCTGCATTCGCAGTTCCTTTGCCTGAAATGCTGTTTCCTGTCCCCTTGCTTCTCCACGGCTGGCTGGCTCCTTTCTTCAGGTCCTGATTTTGACGTCACCTCCCAGAGGGCCTTCTCTTGTGAAACAGAATTGGTCTCCCCTTATCCCTGCCCACCAGAACTATTCTTTATCTTATCCAGGTATTTTTGCTATTGGGACTGAGCCCAGGCCATTTGCCCTTTAACCTTTGCAGTGAGTGACACCCCAATCTCTTTTTCATTTTGTGTGTGTGTGTGTTTTTTTTTTTTTTAATTTTGGCAAAGGGTCTCACTAAGTTGCCCGGGCAGGACTGGAACTTGCAGACCTGCCTCAGCCCTCCCGAGTGCTGGGCTTAGAGGTGTGTGCCATGTGTCTTTCCTATCAGCACTCACCTTAATGTGCTGTTTTTCTGCTTGTATTTAATTCTGTGACTTTGTCTCCCTTTAGCAGAATAGAAGCTCTGTGAAGGCAGAAACTGGCTCACTGCTGTCCTTCCAGTGCAGAGGACACCAACTCTCCAGTTCTGCTGGCCAACAGAGGAGGCCCTCAGTGGGATTTTTCAATAACATAATTTAAATTTACCCATTGAAAGCAAGATATTTAGTAGGCAAAAAGTTAATGTACAAAACAGCATGCAGTTCCATTTGTATTTCTTAAAAATATGAACACATACATTAAAGGTATACAAGAAATTAGTAACTATGGTTGTCTCTTGGGCATGGACGTTAGGTCTGGGGAGAAGAGTGCTATGGCTTCAAAATGTCCCCAAGGAGACCCTGTGTGGCATGGTCCCCATCCTGTAGCACTGTTGGCAGGCACTCAAAATGTTAAGAGGAGAGGCTGAGTGAGGAGCTGGTCTCTGAAGCGTGCGTCCTAGAAGGCAATGGGTGTTGGGACCTTGAGCCCTTCCTGTTCTCTCTCTATTTCTTAGGGGCCCCCAAGGTGAGCAGTTCCTTCCACTACTTATATAACCACAATGTCCCAGGGTCAAAACAATAGGACCAAACAACCTAGACTGAAATCTCTGAAACTCTGAGCCAAAGTAAACCTTTTTTCCTTTTTTTTTTTTTTGCGCAACCGGGGATTAAATTCAGGCCCTTGCACTTGCCAGGGAAGCACTTATTCTACTGAGCCATCTCCCCCGCCCAACCTTTCTTCCTTCAAAGTTGATTCTGTCAGGTATTTTGTCACAGCAATGGAAAGCTGACTAACACGAAAAGTAAGAAGAAGCTCTAATCTTTTGTCTGTTTAAGGTTTTCACTGTGTGCCTACATGTCTTTTGTAATGAGAAAAGTACTGTCTCCTAGTGGTATTGTCTTTAAAAGGAAATATGGAGTCCTGCAGAAGTAGGTAGGACCTCAGGCACAGGGCAGTTGTTTATGTGGAATAAGTTTGGCTTTATGAACACACCACCATATTGTCTTTCTTTTCCTCATTCCATTTAGGACCTCATAAACTGTTCTTGTTTATGACTCTCATCTGAATTGTGGCATTTGGTGGGCCTCAGCGGTACTAGCGTTGTGGACGAAAGCAGGGGCGCCAGCCTCAGGAGCACTCAGTGTGAGTCTCAGTCCTGCTGCTCAGGAGCTGAAGGACCACAGGCAATGTACTTAAACTCTGAGATTCAGTTTCTTCATTTATAAAATGGGGGGACGGCACTTCTCTAGGAGGACTATTGCGAGGGCCAAACGTGGTCACTCGGCCTAATATCTTGCATCTCGTAAGTGATCATCAATCATAGTTATTATTTCCTTCATTACATATCAATACCCTTCAACTTCATTGCATGCACCATGGTTAAAAATATGATGAATGCTTATTTGTTTATTTATTTATTTGGTATTGGGGATCAAACTCATGACCTTCCACTTGCCAGGCCGGTGCTTATGCCACTAAGCTGTCTCCCTGGCCCATGAATGCTTATTTAAAGAAACACAGTAAAAGCCACATTGTCGTTAATCCTCAGAATACTTCCCCTCACTTCGAGCACTCTTAGCATTCTTGCCACTTTCTGAAGCAGCTCTGGAAGTCTGTTCTCATGTGTGTCTTTAGTTTTGATGTCATAGCCCTCATGTCCTGATTTAATTTAAAACATTTATTTTTCATGTTTGTTTTGACTTTGGGGAAGATCCAGAAGTCCCTCCAGTGCCACATCTGGAGAGTAAGGTGGACGAGGACTGCCCCGATGCATGTATGAACCTGCATCTGTTGGGTGGCGCTCGGCAGCAGGATCCGCAGTATTCTTGATCATCGTGCCTCATAAAGACAGGAGAGAGGACTTCCACAAGTGCTTCAGAAGGCGGCAGGAGTGATGGGATGAGTATGCGCAAAGTGACCGGAGGATTTGGAAGGAGATATTTTGAAAACACGTAAACACATACTGTGTTTTGTGATCAGCCCTTGACACCTCGCCTTGGTTCAAGCTCTCTCCGTGCGAGGAGGCAGCGTGTTGCGAGGTGGCTGGGCAGGAGGCTTAGGCAGCGGTTCAGCCTCCCCACAGACGGCTCCAGATGTATGTGCACTAACACGATTGGGAAAGCCCTTGAATATTTTAGTGCATCTTGCTATAAACTGATGTGAGTGAAGCAGTGAAGGAACCGACAGGTGTGGTGTTGTAGTCAGGGTTGGGAAGGGAAAAGATTTAATGATACAGGACACATTTATAGGATGTTTTGTAATATTTACCTCAAGAGGCAAATGCAAAACAGTGCAGGAAACCTGTCCACATACCAGAGACTGAAGAATCCAGCCGAGGGCCTGGATCACACGGCAGTGTCCTCCATGAGTCCAGCTGAAGACCCAGAGCCCATGGCAGTGTCCTCTACCAGTCCAGCTGGAGGTCTGGAGCCCATGGCAGTGTCTCATGCGAGTCTGTATCAAGGATCTGCCCTGGGAAGGCCCAAAGTTCGGTGGTGGAGCTAGAGAATCTGCGCCAGTGGGATGGAGGATCTGTGCTGGCAGGCTGTGGGATCTGCACTGGAGCCAGGAAGCGATGCTCAAGGTAAGAACCTGAGCTCCCTGCAAAAGTACCCCGGCATCCTCAGCAACAGTGAGGGCCTGAGCTCCTCTAGTGATGAGCACAGCTGAGTTCACATCAGGAGACCCAGTGTGACAAGCTTCCTCAGGAGAATCAACAGGACCCGGTTCTCTCCTCCAGTTCTGCGTTTATGCTGTTGGCAACAGTCCTCAAGTGGGGCCTCCACATCCAGCACCACACTGATTTGGTTCAGCTGGGTGTTACAAGTTGACCATTAGTTTATCCACCACAATCTGCCCCTAGCTTGATAACCGGACACATTTCCTTAAGCCATAGTCTTCTGTGGCAGGTTTGTGGAAGGTTAGCCTGTCCCAGTCTGTTCAGATTTACATTAGTATAATAATTACACATATACTATTCTTATTCTCATTTCCATACCAAAGTAAAATACCCAAAGGGTGATCAAAATTCAAGGTTAAAACCATAATTCTTTGACTAGTTAACCTTGTTACAAACATGTCTAAAAATTATATTAAAATCATATTAAAAAGCTATCACAATCACAATCCTTACTTTCCATTTACCTTTAAAAATGGGGCATGGCACCCCCCCCCTGCAAAAAAGGAATGCCCCAAAAGAACTGTATTTCAAATACACTCCTCCTTTTTAATGAAAAGCCTTAGGTCATTTTTATTTTATTGTTTATTTTTGTCTTTTTAACACAGAGTCTCTTATGTCCTTGAACTCACTTGTGTAGCCCAGGCTGGTCTCTAACTCACATCAGTCTTCCTGCCTCAGCCTCTATAGTGCTGGGATTACAGGTGTGCGCCACCGCACCCAGCCATTACGTCGTTTTGAAATTGTCCTATCTTAGTTACTTCTCTCATTGCTGGGATAAAATGCCCGACACCCAAAGTTAAAGGAGGAAAGGTTTATTTGGCTCATAGTTTGTAGAGGTTTCAGTCCATACTCAGCTGCTCCACGGCAGGGTGGTATGGCAGAGGGGCAACCATTCACGTCAGCCGGCAGGCCACAGCAAAAGCAGCAAGAGAGGAGTAAAAGCCAGTCTCTTTCCATCCCTTATATCGCATGTAGGCTCCCCGCCCTAGCCCTGGCACTCACTCACACTGTCAATCCTAGACAGTGAACCAATCACAAACTCTAGATTCAGCCACCTGGGACCCCCCCCCACGCCCCCGTGACTGCCTGAGGCTTTGGGGGGATATCCAGACACAAAGAACAACACGTGGCAAGAAGTATTTGTACGTGAGGCAAGAGAGAAGATAGCCTGTAGAAAGGAAAAAATGGTCATAGGTCATGTATCTGATACAGAACTGGTATTCAGAATACTGGTGCTCCTCAATTTACTCAGTCTTTTTTTTTTCCCGGAACCGGGGATTGAGCTCAGACCCTTGCACTTGCCAGGGAAGCGCTTATTCCACTGAGCCATCTCCGTGGCCCCTGCCTCAATTTAAAGTGAACATAGGTCCAGGTAAAATCATAAGCTGAAAATATTGTAAATTGAAAATTCATTGAGGCCGGCCAGGTAGCTCACTGGACTAAAGTGCCTGCTTAGGCAAGCACAGGGATTGGGGTTCAATCCCCAGCATGCCATGCCGGCCCTGCCCCCAGGGCACTGAGACAGCGACTGAGCCTGGGCGTGGTGGCATGTACCTGTAATCCCAGCACTTGGGAAGCGGAAAACAGGGGTTGCTATGAGTCCAATCTACGTAGTGAGATCCTGTAGACTCTGTACTAAATATATATTTTTAAAAAAGAAAAAATGCACTGAATGCACCTACCCTACCGAACATCCTCGTTGAGTGACATGATGCACTGTGGACTGTGGCGTGTGTGCCCCCACACCCCTGAGTGGCTACTGCTGTGGCTTGAGGCTGCAGCCCAGCACTGGCTGGGAGAGTGCAGGGCCGTCAGAAGCCTGGGCAAAGATAAAATCCACATTTCAGAGTATAATGTCTACTGACTGCGTTGCTTTCACACCATGATAAAGTAGGAAAAGCGTGAGTCAGAGCCCTGTGAATTAGGGTCATCGCCATTTGGTAACTAAGAGACGCCCCGATTACAAAGCGAACAGAGGCCTTCCATAGGTATTTCTCCACTGAAGATAAACAAATGCAAACAAACCCATCCCTCATTATCATCGGACAAATGCAGATTAAAACCATACTATCACTTCCTGTTTACCAGGATGGCTACAGCCAGGAAGACCACAGTGGCAAGTGTTGATGAGGTGTGGAGAGATCGGAATTACAGGCATGGATGGTAGAATGCGACATGGTGAGCTCACTTTGAAAGCAGCTTCGCTGTTCCTGAAGTGCTGACCATCATTTCTCACCTAGCAAGTGCAGCCTTAGGTATCCGCCTGGGGCAGCAAAGCTGTACCTCCACACAAACACCTGCCATCGACACGTTATCTCTTCGAATGAATACGTGTTCCGGTGGCATTTCTGTACACGTTTAAGTCATGCAGCAATCATCCTCTCTCCCTCTTCCCTGAGCCTGCTCTCTAAATTTCTCATACCGGCCCCCTCCAACTCTCAGGCCATCCTTTTTTTTTTTTTTCCCTTTCTGTATTTTAGGGAAGGGTCTACAGGGTGTTCAGGGTCTCACTAATAGATTGGATTGTAGTGATTCTCCTGTTTACAGCCTCCCAAGTGCTAGGATTACAGGCGCAAGCCACCA